CAAGAGAGAAGACAAAAGCATACTTGTTGTTTTTGATGCACTTCTTATCGTTGTTTTGAGAGACGGGGTTATTTCTGTCTGCACTCACACATACAGAACAAGCACATACACACCTTTCCCATTATGTCATTTTTTCCCATAGTCTCATTATCGCCACAAACCGCACAAATGACACCATAATGTTGTTTGTGTTAGAACAGGGTTAAAATATCCCTTCAGCTTTGATTGCGATCTTATCAGCTTCTTGTTTTTGTTGTTTCCCCTTTAATTTCCTTCTCTACGCGACTTGTTTTTTCCTTAAACAAACTGTGATGTCACTCGGTGCGACCTGACCTCTTCGCCTCGGACATTCTGACATCATAAACTTTGTGATTGCAAAATAAACCGCCATGGTGTCCATTTGGGTGTTTTGGAAAGGTTGTCAGGAAGAGTTTATCGTAGGTGGTTATTTGGATTGTTTTTGGCACAGCTGTTGTTGTGATTTTAACTCGATAACCAGGGTTAGCTTGACCCTTCAGGGCTGTCATACACGACCCCGACCTCAGCAACAGCGCTGACACCCTTCCTGTATCAGTGGTGATGCCATGACTTACCTGGTTGTGTGGGAGGTGAGGGTGTGTGCAAGGAATAACAGACTAAGATAAAAGAAAAAGGCCCTGGACTTCCTACACATCGTGACAGCTGGCAGAGGGTGTGGACGGCAAGAGGCGGAGGCGGACGGCGTGGATGGAAGGAAGAGTGAGGGGAGAGGGAGGGCGATTGGAAAGATGATAAGGCTAAGAGGTCCGCATGCAGGCCAGCAGTGAGGTAATGCTGCGTGTGCATTTTGCAGTAGTGGACAGTTCATCATAACCGACGCGATCGTCAGAACGCTCCAGCAGCCTTTTTTTATCCGCTGAACGTTCTCTGACCTGCTGCAGCAGAGACGAGCTCGTTTCATGTCGCAGTAACATCAGTTCTGTTCAGTGGTGGAAATGCATTTACTCAAATACACCTAAGTACATCATTTAGTTAATTAATATATCAGTTTAATGCAACTTTATACATCAGTGTCAAAACACTATAAATAATCATAGGTTGTGTTTTCCTGTTGCATTCTGCCGACATAAACAGCACACACACAGTAACATGCAGCTTAAAAAAGAACACATATTAACCTGGAAATGACAAACCAAGACGGTTGTATAAAAATTTCCTAAAGAACACAATAATACATAGAATAACATATGGAGGGCAGTAATGGATAATAAGCAGCTACTCAGAGATAACAATGTAAAGTAGCCAAACTATTTAGAAAACTGAATGATTTTTCCATGGAAGATGATTGTGGAGATGAAGATTAAGGTTTTTTTTAATAAAATACATTTATAGCTTAAATCAGTTTTTCTCCTCATACAAATAAAGGTGCATGTCATGTTTCAGATGCTCGTGTTGTTCATAGTTTCATGAAAGTGATGTTCTCTCACTAAACTTTTCAGATTTCTGAAGAAGTCAAGGCAAAGAAGACATAAAATTATCCAATAGTTCAAGCAAAAATGAATAAAATGAGTACAAGCCAGACTAGCAGGACCTTTTTCCTTGTTTCAGCTTCCATTAATCATCTCAAATTTAGCCTGCGACCCACTGAGGGAGGATTGACCTGCAGGTTGTGACACGCTCGATATAACAAACTGTATATGAAGTAATTGAAACCATGTTGACCAAGTACAGCAGTAAAATCCTGCTTACGCACCGTTGCCTCCAACCCTGCCTCTAAAAAATGTTCCAATACAACTAAACTGCAGCTGGAGTCCAGTTAAATTGATCCTTTCAGTGCATGTTAGAAGTTTGGGTAGTTTTATGGAAATCACACAGTTTGGTTTCAAATACAACCTTTTCGCAACATGTTTGATGCTGTGCTTCCATTTTTTGGGTCACCTAGGTGACAAGTCCTGACACATCTATATATAATTAGCTGACTGAAAAGGTGCAACAATAAAAGCAATAAAGTGAAATACCCAAGAGATTTTGATTTAAAGTGTATTTGTGATGCATTGTAATCAAACAGAATCATACATTTCTTTCAAAGCATAACTGAAAATGCCATTTAGCTGCATGGGAACATAATAGTTGGTATTAGAGAGCAGTAGCACTCTAATAATACCGATGAAAATATATCAGAGAAACCTTTTGTTTCTGTAGAACAGCTGCTTTAAATACTTAAAGTGCATTTTTCTGATAAAACTGTTTTGAATGCAGCTCTTTAACTTGTAATAGAGTGCAGTGTTGCTCTGGTATTTCACTGATCTACAATAAAGGAATAATGTTAACGCTTCTCCCGCCGCTGATCCCGGAACTGATGTTATTACAGTGGACAGCAGAATCCCACAGTGCAGATGTAAATCATGAATACCGAGCATTGCTTCAGGTGAGAGATTTAAGCTACAGCTTAATGACTCCAGCTGGTCCATCTGTTGGCTACCTGCTCTCTGCCAGCCTTAATGAACTGGCAGTGAGCCCTCTGCAGCCCAGCACATCTCATTAGCACTGTGACTTCTAAGTACAGTGTGTGGGAGTTCTTCCACTTCCTCCTGCCACCTTTTTTTTTTTTTCTTCTTATCATCTGTCTATTTTTCTGTCTTCTCCTTTAAACTTCCCTGTTGTATTTCATCATCCCTTGCTTCTCTCTGACCTCTTTGTTGTCTTTCTCCGTTGCATATCTGAAAATCTGACAAACTCCAGGAGTCCTACAAATTATTCCACCACAGCTACAGTTTTCCTCAACCTCCCTGTGCCCTTTTCTCCACATACTCCCTCAGTAATTATCCTTTGTAGCCCATTTCTCAGTACAACCGCTCGACTTTTCCTCCCATCTCATAATCTGTTGCAGTGCAGACATACTGGACGTAGCTCCACTCCAAGCAAATCCCTGACTCAGTGTTTTCTGCCTCACAATTTTCGCTCCGCTAACATTTTGCACCTCTACTGCAACCCTTCATCTTCCCCTGTGCTCCTTGCATGTCGCCTCCAGCTGACATTAATGTTTCTGCTGACCTCTTGCCCTTAACCTCCCTCCAAATCCATCTTTCTCTTTCTGCACACTTCCCCATCACCTGCTTTCCATCCCTTTCTCCTCCCTCAGCGCCTTGTTTCCTCTCCTCCTACTCGTCTCCACCTCTGACTGTAAAGACGTGACTGCACATCCGTGTAGCCCTTCAGGAGAACCTTACCCATAATGCACAAGGTGGAGTGATTTGCATGGCAGCCGCTGGAGCGTTTCACCGAGGAAGGGATGGGTGGGTGGATGTGTGACGGAGAAAAGTAGGAAATGTGGAGAGACAGAGAGTTGTAGAGGGAAAGTGTTGCTCTGAATTATTCATCGCTGGTCTATAGGTTGAATGAATGCATCCGAAAAGAGGAAGACAAGAAAAAACACCTGTCCTCTGTTATCTCCCCAGAGTGTGATATCACTGCAAGCTCAAAGTCATCATTTGAGGATGTCCAGCAAGTTATCTGCTACAATACTGCAGGATACCTTTATGTTTACTGACTTTATCTACACTTAAGGCTCTGAATTTTAATGAAAATATCTCGCCTCAGTCAGATAGAGTGGTACATTGACCTGCATGCAGCAGTAAAGGCTGCAGAAGCTTGTCTGGGTGCAAAAGAAAGCACAATAAAAAGGGACGCATTGAATTCATTAAACTGAACAAGGACTTTTGCATGTAACTTTCTATCTTTTTTTTTATTTCCGTGCATGCAGCAGGTTGAGGTTTTCTTGAATCAGCAGCCAGCTGCAGCCTCGGTTTGCCAGGACAGTGAATCACTTCTGATGCTTGTCTCTGTTTCAAAGGCTGAGGCCAAGACTAGGCCATGTCCATTCTATGACACTTGCAGGTTGAGAAAACGAGGCTCATAAAGGGTCAATAACTCTTTAAAACTGTGAAATGTTAAGAATTACTTTCAAAGCCTGTGATTGAACATCACCATTTGTGAGCCTGATGTGGAAAAACTAAAGGAATTTGTGTTTGTGGGTGGTTAGAGAAGATTTTTGCTGCAGAAAAATGTGAGAATGGTTTTGTTTGGTGATTACAGGACACTGGAAAACAGCATAAATAGATGCCAGAGTGGAAATATACTCTGTGCTTGTTACTTGTGCCTGTGTGATGTTCAACTTTGAATCTATAATCAGATGTTAATAAAAAACACTTATTTTTCCTCAGAGTCTAAAATCATTTTTAATATAATTTAGGCTCGGATTTCATTTGCAAGTCTTCTCAACATATTCACAAACATGAATTCCTTCCTGTTGTTCCCCACAGTTTTACTAATGCCAATTAAACACAGGGCTTTCATAAGCTGAAAAATCTTTCAAACAAAGCAAGACTATACCGGTACAGCTGAGAGGGAAAATATTTAAAACATCTACTTCATGTTTTTTAAGTTGAGATTTCGGACCCCACATTCAGAATAAAAGCAAGTTTGTGCACATCCTGCCCCATAGGCTGCTAAATATCATTACCACTGATCAACATTCATATCCAGCACACTGATATTTACAGCCAAGGACTAGCGTTTAATCAAAAAAGTAAAGGTCAAAACACAGTCTGTCCCCAGGATTAAAACCTAATTTCAACCTCCATCTACAAAAACAGCATCTTTAATTTCAAATGTTCATGATCCTGAATTTTTCTCCATTCGTGTTCGGGCTGTGGAAAATAATAAAATAGGCCTGAACACTCAACGTGCTGGACAGAACTGGATCATGTGGTTGTTATTTGTGACTTGGACTCTGCCCAGGGCTCGTTCAAAGGCTGATTGGAGTGTGATCCCAAGTCCAAAACATATTCAGCCTGGACTGCATCTTCAAACACAGTTGTGATGGACAGCATGAGATAGGAAGAGACTGGTAGAAAAAGCAGTGAGAAAACATTTCTCTTGGTTAATGTGATATTAAACTGAAGGCTGTATGTCACAGCACATGTTTGACATGATTTTTTTCTTGTGTGTTTTCTTGGCAGAAGTCCTTCTCTCTGGTGTTGGAGGCTCTGGACCATGACAATGACACATCTGAATCAGGTAAAGCTGCAATTTTTTGTCTGTATTTATAGACAGGAATATAAAAAAGTGGGTTAAATAAAATAGCACCAAGCATGACATTTTCCTACAAAAAAAAGTAACAAAAAATGTGAGTTTATGCTTTTGCAACTTTCCTCATTCTTCCATTTGTCTACATTTAACTGATTAATTAGTAATTAGTAGTAATTAATTGGTGTTACATTTTTCTCAACTTAATGCCACATGTCAAACTCAATTACAAAAAAATTGGAACATTAAAAAATCGAATTTTACAATATATATTACATTATATTTTGGCTTTAGCTAAGGCTACTTTTGCTTACACTGTAGTTAGCTTTACTGCTATTTTTAATAAATCTGCTTATTTTAAGTTTCTAAGACCTGCATTCAGAGTTTCTTTTTTTAGCTTTGCTTTTATTTTTAACCTATATTTTGTAGTTCCTTGAAATTTAATATGTTAACGTTTTTAAAACTGTTCATTGCAATTGCTTTAAATGGTAAAACAAAATTAGTCAAGACCAGAAGAAAAATATTGTCATCAAGGCTAAGTTAATGTTTAGCATGTTTAGTTGTTGTTAATTATCCTTCTCAATTATTACTGTTTTAAGTATTTCTTTGTTAAACCAAATGACATTGAATAATTCCTGGAAATTTCAGGCACAGTTTTTTTTTTGTTTGTTGTTTTTTAATTGCATGTTTGTTTGGTTTTTAAATACAGTGAACAACTTTCAAAATGCCAGCTTCTGGTCATGACTGTGGTTGCTGCACTTTCTTCCCCGTCTGGCCGAGAAAACAGTTATTTATAAGTTTAGTTTTCAACAAGCAGCGTTTACATAGAGGCAAACAACACGAACACTTGTTTACTAGTATGTGCGGTCGAACATGATGAAACAATGTGAAAATATCCTTTGTGTCTTAACGTCTGTGATCACACGAGTTTAGAGGGCCTTTTATCCAGACCCTTTAATTTCCTGCTCGTCTCCTTGTTGTTTCTCCTCATAATCAGGAAAAGCTCCATGACAGGGAATGTGAGCTGCATGCTATAAAAAGCACAACACACATGCAGACACACACAGACAGATGTTCCGATGCCTTCCTCATTCCTGTCATGCCACAGTCGTCCCTTTCATCCCCCCATCCTCTACCTCCCTCCCAGCCATCGGTGGGACCGCAGTCCCATCCGAACGATGGCTGATATAATGAGAAACCGCACCAGAGATCTTCCTCCTTCCCTGTGTTCGTCTTTCCTGTCCTCTTCCATCTCTCCTTCCCTCTGCCCTCCAGCGCCGCTCTTACATCTTGTTTGCATTATCTTCCGTTTCCACCTGAGCTCCTGACAGCCCTTACATTGTGTCTAAAGCCGTTCAGTAGGCCGACAGCTTAGCTCAGCCCAAACACGGGCGTTCTGTAGCAGTCTCAATGGACTTATCAGGCCCTGCTGCTAATCAGAAAGGATTACCGAGCACGACTGTACCCTCTGAAACAGTCCCTGGAAATAGTGAGAAAAAATATCATGTTCTTTGAGCGTTGACAGAACGACCTTCACCGAGTTTTGTTTAAATAACACGCAGGTTTAGTGTTAATGTGCAGGGGCGTAGCTTTGTCTGTTAAAGGGTAATTCCAGTTTATTACAACTTTGAACTCATTTCAGTTGTTTTGACCTCCGTTTTTTTTTTATCAGCTACGATGACATTTCCCTCACCAAAGCAAGTGTTTAGATCCGGGAACATGATGGCATTTTGCGACAAAATGAATTAAGAAAGTGGTCAGACGGATGGTAAATCTTCAAGGGAGGTTTTCTTCTTCTGCGTAGAAAAAAGTGCATATTCACAGCTATAGTGGGTGACAGGCAGAAGATAATTTAAGCAAGGATGTGGCTACAAATGTGTGGCGAACCTGTGACACATTTTTCCAAACCTGTTTTGTCAGCATAGCTTTGGTTAGTTTATTTTTTCATTTGCACACAGTTTAATTTTATCATCATTTGGAGGCATGTAGTCTGTGCTGCTGTTTAGCTGTATTGCTCCGTGCAGTGAGTCGTTTCTGCTATTTTGCCCGCTCTGTAATTGAAATAAACCCACTGAGCAAAGCAATAGAAAAACTTGTTACACACATCGAAACACGCTGCAGCTTCCAAATTGATCATCACCTCTATAAAACAGCGAGAAGCAGAACGTCAAATCTTCACAAACGGAGGATTTATTGCAGGACTGGACGCCAAAGTGAAAATGAAAAGCGGGGTTCACCAAATCAGCTCGTAATTATCATGTCATACATATGTAAAAAGAACGCGTCTTCATAGATGAAAAGACAAGTAGACATCATGTAGATTTAATTAAGTACATGTGATGGCAATTTCGTTTTCACATTTTCTAAAGATAATGAGCTCTGACCACCCACCACCTGCACCTCCAGATCTGAGGGAATATTGACCAAGTCTTGTTTTATTAAAAGGAAGGTGAAGATTTGTCAGCCTGTCCACTATGAAAGTGAATTTCAGAATTAAATTGCAGCAGGCACGTGGCAAATGTGAAGGTTTGTGTTTAAAAGCCTGTTTGCTCCATTAACCACTTATGCTTCCTGCACAATCTGACTTAACCTTACGAGTGTCGCCACGTTCCCAGATTTCAGCTTTTTAAAAGCATTGAAGGTTGTTTTGCTGTGCATGTTCAAGACCCTTCCAGTAAAAATCAAGTTTTCTTTGCCTTGCTGACTTGTCCATTTGATGTTTTTTGTGTGCTAGAAGACACATCATGAGCAAATTAAACAGTCAGTGTCATGATTGAGCATTTCCACCTTGAAACTGCAGTGTGCCAATGAAAAACTCAAAAACTCAGACTTTCATATTTAACAAACCATGTCTGTCAACTTGCACGGTGAGGCTTTCTGTATCATTATTCTTCTTTAGAATCTGTTTCAAATTCGAGCATATATGGCTGAATCACTCCAATATTACAACTTGCTATTGAGCTGCACTGAGTAATTTCAAAGCCAATTCGTAGTTTACACACGGCTGAAGCATACTTTGGAAGCGGAGGGTGGTTCTGCTTATAGGGCAATAGATACGCCTCGGTCTGCTACACAGACGGTTGTATTGCCCCTCATATTGAACACAGAAAAACACACGGGGATCCTTCAGATGTTTCTGAAAGGCTGTTGCACCGTGTTGAAGTGATTAGCGGGCAATCACAGTGGGTGAACATAGCACAAGATTGCTGGAGAATTTAGAACTTCTTACTGTGTTTGGGCACTGCCAATGGAAAGCAAACTCAACTTTGTACATGCAAAATTACTCATAGCAAGTTGTAATACTGTAATTCAGCCATATACATTCCAACTGACACAAAAAGCCACACTCTGGATTCTGACAAACATTGGATCCTGATGTTTGTTTTGTAAGAAAGCCCAGATGTTTGAGTCTGTGTTTTTGAGACCATCACCAGTACACTGCAGGGTCAAGGTGGAAATGCGCCAACTGTTTATGATGTATCTTTCAGTGTATTAAATATACCATATGAACATGTTGGTAAAAAACGAACAAATTTGATGTTTACCTTCAAATTCCAGCAGTGGCTACTTCAATTCCAACTCTTTTCATGATGAATTATCGAGGTGTGGATGACAGACAGTCATGCAGTCTGTCTGCATAACGAGCGTTTATTTTAACATCCAAATGTTGAACTGCATGACCATAATTAGGAAACACCTTCATAGTAGTTGAGCAGAGCAGTAGGTGAGCTGGTGTGCTCGAGCAAGTGGCGGAGGGGTGAGGGGGAAAGGGCGACCGGCACTTCATAAATCTGCAAATTCTAAAGGAAGCAAAAGGTCATATCTAAATCATTTCAAGGCATAAGGGAAACATTTTCATGAAAAAAACACCCTCATAAATATGTAAATTGAATACTCAGAGAGAAGTTTTTAACGGTTAAATCAATGACCAAAGAGGAACTCGAATGCTCTGAAAGTATCCGTGAGGCCCAACAAAATTGCTGGATGAATTTTCCACCTCATAAACCATTTGCTGAGCTGATTTTTAGGAGTTTTACCAGCACGAATGGAACAGCTCAAAACCACTGACAAGACTGTTTATCACGAACACCGACGCCACTCTATGTATGTGTATAATAACAAACGAAGGACCCGCTCTTAAAAACAAGCTCCTCACACTACTCGTGGGTACGGTGGGCTTTAATTTTTGCCATCACAGTATAAGTGAATTATCCTAAAATAACAGCAGTTACATTTCCTCCATGTTCTTTCTTCTTTTCACTCACTTTACGGGTCATGTGGGGAGCATTTTGTGCCGCTGTGTTCACCCACGTTTCAACTGTATCGACACAGCAATCCACCCTCAAAACTGCCACCACCGCTGGAAACAAAGTGGAATTCAATATTAGAAGCATTATAATGTAGACCAGCTTGTCTCCAAAATCCGAGACACATGTTTAGACTTAGCGCTTCATCCACGTGGGAACGATTTTTTTTGGGACAGTCTACAGTTAAAATGAAAACTGGAAACAAAAAAATAAACCTATCATGAGGATTGCCCACATACATCAAAGACGGGTGAGACACAAACACTATCTGGCTGATCTATTGGCTTCCATAGGTCTATTGATTTGTTCGTAGGTGATCTGGATTGCAAGTCACAGGGAGGTGTTTTCTCTCCTGCAGGGTTTTCTCAATACTATCAAGGGCAAGCACTTCACAGCTAATACCAGGCAGTGGGGGACAATCGGAGAAGGAAAAAAAATAGAGCTTTAAGTGTTTTTACTACCTGCAGACTCAATCCCTGTGTCTGCTACTTATTTTCCTTTAAAGTGTGATTTCAAAAGCAGCTCAAGGCTTTTTGTTTCTGCTGTTTTGACATCTAATATTTGAGCTCCTCTGTCTCAGGCTCCCTCTTAGCGTCTACTTGTGCTCACTTGTTATTGTGCCATCACATCTAATCGCATTTCAGAGGAAATCAGACTCCGTTATACACCTTCCCTGCTGTGCTGGATGATAATTAAGTTATTTCTCCGTCGTTTCTGGTGCAGAAATGGTGATGATGAAATTAACTCCTTGACATGCCAGAGTTATAAAGTAATGAAAAAGCCAGAATGCACCGCAGCACTATGAGGAGTGTTTGGAAAAACCGCGGCCCTCAAGGTTGAGAGCGGATGGTGGAGGGGTAGGTCGGCGGCTGAGCTAACAGTTCACTCAGTGTCCGCTCTGTTCCCACTCCTCTTTTACTCTTAAACACACACATGTTCACACACACCAGCCAGTGTGTGTCCCTGTTTTCATTCCTTTGTGTCAAACCCCAGTGATCTCATCTCTCCATCAGGCAGTTTGTTATGTGAGTGCGCTAATAGCCGTTTCCCTTCCTCTTCGGCTCTGTCGCACACATTCGGCCTCTCTTCACCGCTTCCGATTCACTGTCACTGTCATGCAATCGTTGCCTTTATCCTCACCAGCATCTCTTAAGTACACACACATACGCATAGAGCCACACACACATATTCTTCGGTCCTCTGTGTGTGTTAACACCCTGTCAGGGAGGATTATAACGGAGTTGGGGATGACAGCGCCTCTGGGAAATCCCCTCCGGGGGTCAGGAGCAGCAGCCGCCGCCCCGATGTTGCCCCGGGGCTCGTCTGGTCCTCGCTGGTGTTCTGGCTGCCCCCTGTCTTCTCCACAGACCCCTGACCTCTTTTCTCTGCTCCTATCGACCCATCGGTATTCATACTGGCACTGTTTTTCACTTCGTTCAACATATCCTCGCTATCTCGTGCAGTTTTCTGACGCAAACGGTTGTACATAAGAAATTATGTATGCCCACTCACCAAGGTCACAGTCAGGAAAAACTTTTTTTTTGTCCTATGTCTTTTAACACTAAATGACATTGTCCTGTGGTTGTGTGAACAGAGCATGAAAATCCTTTCGAAAACCTACTTTCCAACATAATGTGATCCCTGTTTTAACTATATTTCTGAAATGAAATGTGGCGTACACACCAGAACTGTGTTGCACGTTCCAGTCTGTACTCATTAATATTTTATACTGACTAATACTAAAGGGATCTGTCATAGTGATGATTCAACAGAAAACTGCAGTTTCTCGCAGCTCTACAGAAAATTTTAGGTTCTTACAACTAACTGATTCAGTGACCAGCTCACAGCTTTATTATTTTGGTTCTCTCTATTATTTCCAACCTCAGCCGGCAGCAGCTTTTAAAAAAACACCTCTGATAAACCTACTGTTCACTACCTGCTCAGTGGCAAAGAGCAGGTGACAATGTTAGTGACTAACCGGTGAACCTAGTGGAGCATTTAACACGTAAAGAAGTCGATATTTTCTTCAGGAGGCAGTGGATGCAAACCCAGAGCTAGAAGGAGAGTGAATATTAAATAGATGTTCAATGATGATGATGCTACTCCATGACTTCTGAATGTATAAATAGACGACTACGAGCGAGATCTTTTGCCATATAATGAGATAAAATGTCATTGCATAGTTTAGGGATGGTTCTGCCTCCTTAAAGTGGCTAAAATAATTTCATTTGAATTCAAGTTTAAGCGTTTTCTTTCAGGTTTGGATTTTAGTGTGGACTTTTTTATTTCACTACCAGGAATGTCAAAAAGATATACATTAAAGTGGGCACCGCTTCTCCTCCATCACACTTATAGCACCCCTCAACTCCCACCATTAAAAGCAGAAAATCAAATACCAGAGTACACTGACAAAAAAAAAGCTTTGCATATTTTTGTAATGTAATAAAGTATTTCTTTTGTCCTCCTTCAGGTCAGTTGATAGAGCGAGTCCTCTTATCCTCCATGTTGAATCCTGGTGAACAGTGGCAGACGTATCGTCACCACGGTCGGACTCTCAGTCTGGAGTATCGACTCCGCTTCCGCTGTGACTCCAACTACTACGGACCTTTCTGCAACAAGTTCTGCCGGGCCCGCGATGACTTCTTCGGTCACTTCAGCTGTGATCCCAGCGGCTCCAAGGTCTGCATGGATGGATGGACGGGACCAGAGTGTAAAGAAGGTAAAGTCAGAAACTTAAGATTCCCTTGGTGCTTGTGAGTTTAGTTTATGTCTAAATTGCAGAAAAGAGATGTGTGTTATTTAGTGCGTTTTGAAGGTGCTGTTTCGTGGATTTTGCTGTGTTTTGACAGAACCTGGCTTGTTGTTTCCTTCTGTTTACAGTCTTAATGCTAAGCTAAGCTAAACACCTCCTGGCTGTGGCTTTATTCTTATTGCATACAGACATGTTTTCTTGTGTAAATCTCAACAAGGAAGTCAAATGTGTGTTCCAAAATATCAAATTATTTCTTTTCTCACCAATACTGTTGCTGTCAGTTATTGTTGTATGTAAGGGGATAGGCAATCTGGTGACAATAACAAAACTTCTATGAGAATACATGGAGACTTGATGTTTGCTATGATGAATTTACACCACTCCAATCTCAACAGGCTGCTAATTGACTTTCATATGGGAATGAAACCAATAGATGACTGGAATGGTGGACAAACACCAACATGTTTTGTAAATCATTTGGTTGTGATGTAACTTTAAGGCGAGTCCATTTAAAAAAACCCAAGCGTTGAGCAACTGCTGTACAGAGAAATGTACGACACGATTAAACAAGCCGAAAGGGAAAACAAATTGGTAAATACGTGTAACAAGTTGTGATATTGTACATTCATATTTGCAGATATTAGAAAGTTATGGCTTTTAAGGCAGAATTTAAATGGAAACTGAAGTGCTCGACACTTTAAAGTGTGAGTTATTTGAACTGAAAGAGTGAAATGTTTGTTGTTGATTAACCATTTTTATTCCATTTCCAGCGGTTCATGTCTTTTGGGTAAATCATTTCCTGAAACTATACAGCTGATATTTCACGATCACATACTCACACACAAAGACAGAAACACTTTCTCGTCAATGGCCTCAACATGACTTGGGTCTACTGATTAAACAGTATTCTAACTTTCCATGTATTTTTTCCACCAGCCTTAGAAGGGGGGGTTTCCTTTTTAGAGATTCTCTCCAAGGTTTCTTAAAATGTTTTTCCATGAGGCTGTCTTTGTTTTCCTGTTTAATGTTGCCCTCTGAGGCTCTTTAAAACTGTTGTTGTGATTAAAAGCTGGTAAAATAAACTTCTAGTAAGTAGTCTCTGAACCAATGATATCATTAGAAAACCACTTGATATGTCCTTTAGATATTGACGTACGTGCAAATCTACACATTTACAAACTTTCATGGCCACAATTTGACCCTAAAGCTAAGTTATATCCCTCAAAAAAATCACTTGACCAAGTGAAGACTTTTCTCAAGAATGAAAGAGAATTGACATTACATAAACGTCTGTTAATGACTGTACAATTTAAAGATCATTACTCTGTTACACTCCAGTACTTCAGTAAATACACGCTAGTCAGCTTCAGTGAAGAGGGTGTAGGGGATTATTTTGTGTGACTCATCAGCTGGACGACCTCACTCTGCGACCTCGGAGTGCTGCCATCTCGTTGCGATGGTAAAAGTGAAGTGGAGGAAACCAGAGTGGAAACCATGGGAACCCTGAAGGCCACACAGCCAGTTTAAGGACATCCTGCAACCCTGCCCATCTCACCCTGTCTGACTTCATCTGACTTCCCCCTCAGCACGGTGCTGATTGGACTGCAGAGGAGCAGGAAGTTTCAAAAATTAGCCGTGGTCTCTCTGTTACCCCCTGCAGGTTTACTGATCAAGAGGAAGTTTAGGGAGTTTTCAGTCTTGGGTTTGAACGTCTTAAAGACTTGACATTCAGCGGTCAACGTCCTTGTAACTTTCTCCACATTGCATCAACACCTTCAACTGACCCTGAAGCCATGTGGAGGTTTTTCTGATGCCATGTTTCCATGTTTCCATGAAAAAGTAAAAAAACAACCTCATAGCTGGAGGCCAAACAGTGAGGCTATCTTTTCTTAAGCAACTTCCCAAACATTGGAGTTTTTAGCAACCTGTATGGTAAAAAGTTGTGAAATTTGGCACACTGATTAGGGACAATCCTTTGAGTCTTTTCACCAAGTTTCATGTTTGCATTTCAAGCACCCTTGCACCACAAATGGGTCGACGTTAAAGATGCGTTTATGCATGTAACTAAACCATAAGCCCAACTTTTAAAAATTAGCTGCCTTAGATTCTTTGCATCGAGCTGAGTTTAAAGCACCCTACTGGATTTTTTTTTTTTAAAGCATAGGTGATAACCCTTTTCTGATTTTTACCTAAGCTTGTACAGATGTTCCTCAGACAAAGCTGTGTTACCATGTGTATTTTAGGATTTCTAAACTGTTAATCCATTGGGGCCAATAAAATCTGCTTTGAAGTGAGTTCATATCAGAGTAACTGTTTCACTAAATTCTGTGTGAGTTTGTCCAGCAAACATAATCATTTGGCTTTTCATTAAGCAAAGAAATATTTTTCTCTATGACGGTTTACAGTCATGCTTTTAACATGATCAGAAGAAGTTGCCATGGCGACTGTGCCCTGTTGAACTGCTATACTTCTCGTCGCAGCTTGTAGCTATGGGTTTTTTTTTTGAGATTTTGTGTTATGTGCGCCACTTAAATGTGTGTTGTGTGTATCCTGTGCTATCCGGGGTATTCTGTTATCCACAAGTGTTAATTGTTTTCTATTCCCTGTTTAATTGGCAGCAAGTCACATGCATACAGCTTAGATTTCCAAGTTCAGTAAGGCATCAACGAAAGACACTACGAGAATAAAAAAAAAAAAAAATGCATGAAATTTCTGTTTCAGTGCTTCTGTTTTCTGGACTGTAATTGCTCTCTTTTTCTTTGTGTGCGTTTTGTCTTCACAGCGGTGTGCAGGCAGGGTTGTCATCAGACCCACGGCTCTTGTACTGTGCCCGGAGAATGCAAGTAAGTCAGGCAAACGGTCAAGAAAATATTGGTTGTTGTTTTTTCCACTGTGGGCTCCGATGCACAAACACAGCATATGAAGTGACATATAATTACGCCATCAATGTTAAAGTGACAATATAATTGCAGCCTCAATCACACTTGGAATTAGCAATAAATCAAAGAGAGCGGTGCAATATTTTAAACTGAAGACTGTGATATGATTCTGTCTCTCTTCTTCCAGTCTCTCACAGATGATACTCATTCATTATAGGCTAGCCAAAATGCAATATTGATGTCATGCTGTTTTGAACCATTAGCCTGGATTTGATGTCTGCAAGGCAGTTTGAATCCCATTAAATCCCACACCAGTAGGCAGATGCGAGTTTGCGTGCGCTGATGGGTTATTTCCATTCTGAAATAGCTGTAGTTATGACATGAGTGATGAACTCTCCTTACAAATAAGTCTGCTGAACTTTAAAGCTGCATATAACCTGTGAAATTATGTAAAGCTGCTACATTATTCCACAATGATTCAACAATACAGTCATTCAGAGTGAGAGGGCATTAATAGTACAAGTGAACATTATCAAAGCATCAGCATAAAGCAACCAGATAATGAATTTGCACGCAAAAACATTGATTTAAAACAGAAAAACATCCCTTCTTTCACTTATATTCTTATAACCGCAGCAGCTCTATAATGCCGATAAAGTCACATGAAACTGCTAACATCCGGCTCTCTTGTCTTTGAGGTGTCATTATGGCTGGAAGGGTCCTCTGTGCGACCAGTGCGTGACGTTTCCCGGCTGTGTGTACGGCAGCTGCACCGAGCCGTGGCAGTGTGTCTGCGACGTCAACTGGGGAGGACTGCTGTGCGACAAAGGTCAGATATGTGACCCGTTTCTCTAGTAGAGATGAATGAAGAAGAAAGCATTCATGTGCCGGAGAGGGGGTTTCCCTGCTTCTGTTCACTTTAGGAAGTGACGCCAGATGTATCAGACTCACTAAATCATTATTTAGGCTTCTGAAACCGTAAAGTTTCACCGGATGCACAATTCTGGAGTCAGAAATTAGCACCTAACACAAGCACTTGTGCACATATGCAGCCTTTTTTCACCTACGCAAAACATTAAAAGGTGCTACAACTAAACAACAAGAAACACTTTATCTTATTTTCTACCCTTGCTTCTGTTTAAAACATAAATTATCTTGTCATATACACTGATCACCCATAATATCAAAACCATCTGGCAAATAGAACAACTCTCACCATCAGAACACAGGACACAGGGCAGGGTGGGGCTTCCTTGGATGAAACTATTTTTGGTGCATCCTGATTGACCAGGTTAGGATCTGGAGATTTTGGAGGCAGTGTCAATGCCTTGGGCTCTTTGTCGTGTTCCTTAAGCTTAGCAGCTTTTTTGATGTGGCAGGGCCTATTGTCCTGCAGGGGGAGGCTGTTGCAATCAGGGAGTGCCGGTGCCATGGGAGGGGATGTTGTCTGCAGCAGTGTTTATGTAGGTGGTGTCAAAGTAACATTCACATGAATGCAGGACCCAGTGAAACCCAGCAGAGCATTGTATTGTAACGAGATGATTAATGTCATTCACTTTAGCTGTTGGTCGTCTTAATGTTGTGGCAGATCGGTGTATACATTTCTTATTCTCTGTGAACCTAAAGTTTTAAGAAATTCGACGTGCACATTACTCTTTAAACTAGGAAACACACAAATGGATTTTTGTGCACAATAACAGCCTCAGAAATCACATTAGAACAGGGACATGAATCAATTACTGAGCCTAATACTAAGTACTTATGTTCTATTTATGGGGACAGCTTGGAGAATGCTGATAGTCACATCAGTGTATTTACTGTTTTTTTGTCTTGGACAACAGTTTATGTATTTCTTCAGAATCTTATTTTACTCATAGCATTTATTCCAAGGTTCTCTACTGACAATCTCAATAAGTAAATCCTGTGTCATCCACATAAAGATGAAAACGCTTTTCAGTGTGTTTTATGCCGGCCTCATGGTCCTGTGTGTGTAGACGGAGAGAAACATTGTGTGTGCACTTTGTTAGGTTGTCAGATGTAGTTCTTTACGCACCTTTCCATGCGTCGCATGTGGATCTTCTGAACAGAGTAAAATCGAACTCCCTGAGGGCTTCACCATCCACTCTGAGACTTTTCCCACCACACTGTAGCAAAGTTTGTCCAACATTATCCAGCTATAGTTCCCACCTCTGTCTCAGTGTGGGAACTGGGATCCGGGAGCCAAACGAGTGCCCACGGGACGGTGCATTGTGCGGTGGAAAGGCGATAGCCTTGGGTAAGGTGAACAGGAGCAGGGCTGGGCTGGATGCTTTTAGCTAGGTGGGGTCCTAAGCTGTTTATGTGCATTCAGAAAGGCTCTGCAAAGAGCTGCATTGAGACAAAGGGACTGTGGGCACAGAAGAGATGATTAGAGAAAGCAAAGCTTTAATCAGCCTCAACACTGGAGACAACAAGCCCTGCAGCGACTGGCCTGCACAGTCAGCACACTGAGCCGATCTGGATACACTTCAGCCTCTGTGCTCTGTGCGTGTGTGTGTGTGTGTGTGTGTGTGTGTGTGTACGCGTGTGTGCGTGCATGCGAGACAAAGTTTAACCAAAGTGAGCTTCTATCCATCTGCATCCACTTAAATGTATTTTTTTTTAAATCCCTATATACTTTGTTATGCTGCTATTTTGAGCTATGATCTAAAGTATAAAAATAAATAATTTCAGATCTGAACTACTGTGGCACCCACCAGCCCTGCAAGAACGGAGGGACCTGCACTAACACAGAACCAAACGAGTATCAGTGCGAGTGCCAGGAAGGTTTCAGAGGACGCAACTGTGACATTGGTAAGTTCTGCCTCAAAATCCATAAAACTGTCTGTTTGCTGACAAATTAAATCAGTTCTGGTTGTTTACACAAATGAACAAGAGAAACAAATGGTATAATATAATTCTTGTATATTGATTTAAAAAAAAAAAAAAAAAAAAGATATTCAAAGATATGAAACATAAAGACACTTCAGCAAAAACATGTAAATCTGTAACTGGATAAACTACAATTCATTCTTTAGCTGGGTCTGTACCAAACAGATATTTGCCGTAACAATTTGTTTCATAACTTATTTTGGAAACTCTTCTCATTTTTTCAAACACAACATCCTTTTCAGTGGTTCTCGGAAACAACTTGTGCCAACATGGATTTTACGTTGTAATTAGGTTGCAGGGTATTTAAATTCCATCCTCTGTCCTCATAGTTACTCTCTTGTGTCCTCTCCACCTTCTCCGTCCTCCCCTCAGTGGAACATGCGTGTCTGTCGTCCCCGTGTACGAACGGAGCCACATGTGTTGAAGACCCAACTGGCTTCAGCTGCGTCTGTACCGAAGGCTGGACTGGACACACCTGTGCAGACGGTGATTGTCGATGCCACACACACACACACACACAAAGTCTGAGCTGAGGCTGTGATTGGTTGTTATTGGATCAAAGCCAGTGAGTGACTCTAATCAATCCGACAGAGGAAGCTAAATTAGCTCGAACACGAACAGTATCAACAACAATCAGTGATCTGTCTCGCCCTCTGTCTGGCTCCGTTTGTGTATGTGTGTGTGTGTGTGTGTATGTGTGGGAATGCGTTTGTGTTTGTATCAGCAGGAAAATCAAGAGACTGAGGTGGAGCATCTTTGATAGGCTCCATTGAGTTTATCTAAACAGAGGTGGCACTGTGAGTTGTGTGCGTTTGGATCAGTTTTTATTGTCAAGTATTTCACTGTTGTGGGACCTTTTCAGGTGTAGCTCCTTGCATCCAGATATTTCAAGGCTTCGTCTATTCACAGATGAAGTGGATTACAATTCAAAGAAGCAAGTTTGTCCAAAATGTTGACCAAAACAAGGAAAACTCCTCAAATTGTTCCTATGATGGAATGAAAAACAATGAAGGAAGTGCTACTTAGATCTGAGCGTAATGAAACACAAAGCAGATGCTTTTCAATGCATGAGTTGCCTATTGTCCACAAGAAAGGGGAAAGATTTCCAGTTACACTGTTTACTTACACAAAGTGCAAAAACTGGCAAGTGTGGACTGAATGCCTTCTTCTCAGGGTCAAATCACACTGACACACACAAGTAATCAGACTTTAATTACATATGTGAGAATGCGTTCAACAACATCCGCTTCCCTTGAGACATATATACGTGAGAAAACATGGAAAGGGACGAACGCGTCTGCCAAGTGAATGTAACGTTATTAGATTTTGTTTGCTCTGTGAGGAAACTGAAAACTCAGTAAACACAAAAACAATACACACTTTGCGTGTTTAGAACAGGAATGACATGTTGTTGTTGGCCTTTGACATCATTAGTTGCAGTGATTGTAGTTTGCTGTCCAGTAGTGTGATGTGTTTCTCTACTAACATGCAATGCTAACACGTATCACTTTGGCCATGGCACGTGTTATGAAAGACAGCAATTGACAGCTATGATAAAAGATAACTGAAATGGGGAATAGATGACATTCAGTCCAGGAGAGTTGCAGAGTTTATTCAGGCTTGGCAAATCTGAGATAATAAAGGAGATTTCTACAGATGAAACTGGGTCTCTTGGTAATGTATTCCATAAACAGGGGTTATAAGGGTTCGTGTGCATCACAAAGGCTTCAAACTGAAAAAACAATACCATCAGTATGAAGGGATGAAAACAAAAACATAGTGGTGCATCCTTGTGTTCAAGCAATGTCAGATTTAAGGCTGAGATGCTTTTAATCACAAGCTCAGATAAGCTGGATCATATAATTCCCATGATCCCACTGTCATAATCTGGACTATCCCTGTTGATATCTTGAGGGTGTTTTTCTCTCATTTTTAAAAGCTCATCCACACCCATAGAAGTCACTATGCAGCTTTTTGATAAGTAAAATGGCTTTTAAAGTGTAAAAGTGCACCTTCAAAGTAGCGGTACGTAACCTCCAGACGTCTACACACATTTTCAAGCACAATTCGATCATCACACAGTTTGAAAAGGTTTCATCTGAGCAGTACGCCACAGTGACTCACAGCAGCACTTCATACCTCCTAAGATCCCCCACTTCCAGGTTTTGAAGCATGAATAAAGGTCAAACATGTTTTTGGCTGCAAAGTAACAACTAAGCTGTCACAACAGTCTGTCTTGGACTCGCTCCTGTGGTCTGTGTGTGTGTGCGGCTTCTCTGTACAGTATGTTTGAGCTCATGTTGTGAGTGGCGGCAGGTGAGATTGGATCACACCGGTTATGGTCTGTCAGAGCTGTGTGTGTAAACAAGCGACGTTCCACATCCTCTGCTTTCACCTCTATGGGGATAAAGAGCGCTGCAGGTCAGGAGCAGACATGTAAACACTTCAACAAGAAGCATTTATATCTGAGAGGGAGAGAGAATAAGAGGAGAGGGACAAACAGGGGAATAAAAGGGATAGTTTATTTTTGCTCTTGTTATTTGTTGCGAGCTTGATTAACAGTCAGTCTATCTCCGTATGTGTTGTGTTGTGGGGGGCTCTCCGGGGAATACACAGCGAGAGGATTGTCAGGCTTGCAGGGAATGACAACCAAAACCACAACACAGCTCTGTTTTCAGACTAGATTTATATATATAACCGATATTAATTAAAGGCTTGTTTGTTTGTTATGAATTCTCTGTCTCGTTTCGGGAGAAGAGCCGCTAGCTTGGACGGGTTATTATTGCTCAGGGTTGGAGTCGGGGTCATGGAGATGGAAAATGGTTGTTGCGCAGGGTTAGGTAAATGGAAAAAAGGTTATGAGAGAGACAGAGAGCTCTTGAGTGGAAGATGCATACCACAGAGATATGCATGGGAAAAGTTATGATACCACTGGTGCACAAATATGCCATATATAATCGGAAGTTATGCATGGTTAACCCCTAAATAGTGAGTATCTCTTTGTCGTTCTGCCTGCTTGTGTGCGCTCGTTTTCCCCACGTTTCCCCTGTTCCTTTATCTGATTTTAATTCCTTGTCAGATGAGTGGAACCAGGCGTGGCAGCCCCATATTTCTATTTCTACTTAACCCCCATCTTCCTTTGTTCCCATCATCCTTTCCTTTATTTAAATCAACTTGTTCCTCCCTCCTCTCTGGGAAAGGTTGGAGGTGGCAGCCATGTACGTGCAGCAGATTATTTTATTTATCATTGTTTGCACAGAAACCAGAGCAGCAGAAGTGAAAACACAGACCGCCAAAGCCTCCGCATACCAATGCTGCAGTTCAGATCGCATACGTGTCCACATGGTGGCATCACGTAGACTCAGTGACACGCGTGGATTTACATTCACACTCATTATACCTGCTGATGTATTATATTTTCTCTTTCTCTTCTCAGTGGTGAGGCAGTGTGATCGCAGCCCTTGTGGCCGAGGAGCAACGTGTCAGGAGGCTCCTGGAGGTTTTCGATGCCTTTGTCCGCCTGGATGGACCGGCAGGACGTGCCAGCTGGGTCAGTGGGTCACGATTAAACTGTATTGAAAGTGTTTTATACAGTATACAGCAACAGCAAATACACTATGCTGCAATATCACTTTTGTCAAAATAATTCAAATTTGTATCACCCCTGAATATTTACATTATTTTTAAGTTGATAAGTAGAGTCTTTCCTCTTATGAACAGCAAAAAGAAATTGTCTAGGAAGGCAACATTTAAAATACAGACCCTCAAGTAGAAACTCTATGCAAGAAAAGCAAATACACATGTGATCACACAAATTAGACAAATCAGTAAAACAAAACTGAGCACACCTGTGATTTCCACTGAGTCTAACTGCATGAACATGATTATAAAATGACCAGAACTTTCTCAGTTTTTGGACCTATAGGTTGTGTCTGTTTGCATTGTGGTTCATGGAATTAGCAAAGAAACTGAAGAATTCTGGACACAGGAAGATTGGTGAACCACTAAAAATCCGTTGAAACACAGTTGCAGCTGTAATCAGGGGAGATAGATCGACAATCCCTCTAATCAGAGCCGCAGTGGTCGTCCTCTTCAAACGATGCCATAGACAGTGCACTACTTTCACAATCTAGCTCTGAAAAATAGACAGGCGAGTGCTTCGAACTTGAAACAGGGGTTATCAGAGGAAATCAGAGTTTCTGTGACAGCTCCGAGAGTGTCAAGGATATTTCATATTGTCAGTCTCTATGGACAATGTGCAAGAAAAACACCCTTGCTTGCTCTTTGACTCAAAACTGCGAGATGAAATTGCTAAAGTGCGCAAAAAGGAGCCTGATTAATATTAGGAGCACATTCTCTGGTCAGATGAGACCAAAATAAATTTGTGTGGCTCAGATGGGGTTTAGCGTGTTTGGCATGAACCCAGTCAGGACTACCACAGTGAATGCATAGTCATAGAGGTGTGTAGCTGTGGATGTAGCAAAATACTGGCTAACAAGATGAGTCTCATTCTGCTGATTCTTGGCAGAAGAAAAATATTCCAGGATGATAAGAATCCAAAAAATACTGTCAAAATAACATCAGAGTTTTTAAAGAAGATGAAAAATGACAACTATGACCAGACCAAGTGTGTCATCTGACTTAAATCCAAAATAACACCTTGTTCGTATTTATTACATTTTTTAAGACAAAAGCAGAGGAACCCAACTTCTTGACAAAGAGCAGCTGAAAAAAAAAATTGGAAAAAATGGCAGAGCATCTCCAGAAATGTGTGCAACACTGGAATCCTCCATGCCGAGGAGGAATGAACTTGTTATCAAACATGAAGTTGGACATACAAAGTTTTTAAAAAATAATAAAAAGCTTGAATCTCAATCATCTGTACTGACTTTTGTTTCAGTGAGTTTCTACTGTGAGGCCTGTATTTTTAATATAGTACCTCATAAGTGTTTTTAATTTTATGCAGGAGCAAACACCTACTGTTCAATAATGCAATCAGTTTAAGATGATGCAGTTTTTAATAAGCAATATTGCACGAAGATGTAATCGCTTCTGTTGTATATACACGTAAAACATCAATTAAAAAAAGAATAAGTCAAAAAGAAAAGTGCACTCTTAAGGTGCAGGCACAAGTATTATTAACATTACAACATATAAGAAACAAGAGTGTACTTTATGTTGTACTGTACAGTTAATCAATAAGATGTTTAAATTTCAATGTAAACCTAAAGAGATTTTTATCAAAGTGCCCCGCTGAAGCCTTTGTGGTGGTGAGAATTTGTAATCATTAGATTATGATACTCCAGCTCTTTACACGCTGTTCTGTTAATAAGAAAATCAGTTCATTGTCTTCAAAGGAATATGTTTAATGGGATTTTTTTTTAAACACAGATTCTCTAACTGCCCAATCAATCTAAGCAGTCATACACAGCTGGTTTCAAAAGCAGCTTTTTCTCAAAACGTAGTATGAGATTATGTGTTCCATTTGAAGTGAAATATGCATTTAAAACGCAAATTAAAGAGGCAGAAGAAGCCAGTAGCATGTTAATTCTCCCATCAACCCATCCCCTGACTGTGAATCAGTATTCTCTAAATGCACCGTCACGTCTCTTTGGGCTGCATTCGCTCATATTGACAAGTATGCTCCCTGAGGGTTGTTGTGTTAGATAGTAGAGCAGAGGGAATAATGTACAGAATCAGGTCAAACACACACACAAACACACACACACATACAAAATATAAACACTTGTAGAGGCTTCGGGGTTATGAAGTAAAAGCTGAGACATATTTCAGGATGACAGCCGCTCCTACTCCTCTGTGTTACAGTGATATGTCACTCTGACACTTGATAATCCCCCATAGTTCCACATCACAGGTCAGTAGCTCACAGTATCACACAGACACACACACACACGGTGTTCAAACACAAGTCATAAAACTCTTTATAGCCTGAGCCCATAGGCGGAGCATCAGTAGCGCTTCAAATAGTACAGGGCAATTATGCTTTCTATCAGTTTCACTCCTTTATTAGTTAATTTCTCTCCCTACATTTTCTCCCGTACAAGACTGAATCCCCCGGCTCTCAGCAAAGACACACAACCACACACACTCTTGCACACACCACCAGTGCTGAATCTTAATAGGCCTCTCACTGTAAAAGGTTTAGATTACCTATAACTGACTGACTACTTCCTCTTCATTCATTGAGCGTTTCTTTCTAATCCTCCTCCGCTACTATCCGAGCCAATCCCTCGGAGGCTTCGACAGAGGCTGGGAATATGCACACATATAAACCTAACAGATGCAGCGGGATGGTCGGTGCGTAAACAGAAAAAGGACGCAGGGAAGGTGCTGCAAGGCGTGATCTGATGTTCATTTGTGCAGATAATATTTGACATAATTCTGTCTCTCTCCGGTGGTGTTCATCCCTCTGGCTTCAGCCCAGTAATTCTCCACTTCACAGTTCAAAATTGAACTCTGGTTTAACTGGAGGCTAAAGATCGTCTGAGCTCGGTGGCAGACGTGTAGGATTAGATTCAGCAGTTTTATGGAAAGTGTGACAGCTTATCCCATTACAGACGCATTTGATTAGCATAATGCGTTTTGTGGGTTCTGGAACAAGACTATACTCATATTTCAGTGTATTGATATCGGCCTTCTGTTTTTGGTGGCGCTACAGTTGATCATGATGGACTGACAAACCTTCACCTTGGGTTTATGTGGGGTTCTTTCCACTCCATATGTGACTATTTATGGCAGAACTTTGCCTTGTTATCAGCCTGAATTGCAATTTTGTTTCACCTCAGTTGGAATAATTGAACAAGACAGAGTCAGAACTGTTCACGGACTCCAAAATCAATAGCATCAGGTGCAGGAATTTCCCCAAAACCATCAATAAAAAACAATTTAATCTATAAATCTGATATGAGCCTGTCTCTTGGTACTTTGTATGAAATACAGGTCAACTTCCTGAACCTCATCGACTGAACTGCAGATTTGATTTCAATGGAAACTTTTAGTTTCTTATGACATAAATGCTGTGACCCATTTACACAGTAACACGAGATGAGGTTGTGCGTTTATTCTTTTCTCACTGAAGAAGTACACTGACATATCGTCACACTCGTGTATTTACTTTTTATAAATAGGCTTAGCAAAGGTGTACAACTGTAAATTCACAAATTGTGACTGATCTTTGTCTAAATGTCTTGTCACCAGTGACTGAGATAAAGCGTTGTTCGTTCTGCTTTCATCAGTATTTTTAGAAACTTCTGTCTTTTGTTTCATCAGACACCAACGAGTGTGAAATGAGTATCTGCGTCCACGCCCGCTCTTGTCGCAACCTGATCGGTGGATACTTGTGTGACTGCCTTCCTGGGTGGACGGGGTCGAACTGTGACATCAGTGAGTATCAAAGTGGGTGTGTGTGGGGGGGAGGAAATAAGAAAAAAAGAAGCAAATTGGTAGAAGAAGAGAGAAACGACCGTCTAGTGGCAAAAAAGTGAAACATGAAGAGCCTTTAAACAGCTTGCAGCCCAGCGTCCCTGTGGGCGGCAGATCATTTTACTTCAACTCCATCAATCGTGTTTCACAGGGTGTCACTGAAATAAATGTAATCGCAACCAATAAGGTTGTGTGAGAGTCTATTTTTGACGGTTATCTCAGGTTACTGTGTGCTGACATATTGGTATAAAAGGCTTCAATCTACTGCCTGGTTGCACCGTAATGCAACATCATCGATTGATATCTGATTCAGTTATGCGTGTCAGTCTGTTCTGTTTTCATTTTGGGTATTGTTATTTACAGCTTTATCTTTGTGTGGGTATTCTGTCTCTGAATGACAGATTAATGTGGTGATTTTTCTGATTTCCAGGGAACAGCAGCTGTCAGGGTTTGTGTTTGAACGGCGGACGTTGTGAGGTGAGAGTCCTGGCTGTGCTGCCTTTCTCTGTTTAATTTGCCTTTGCATTTATCTGACCTGCTTGAATATTTTCATTATGTCTTTCACTATTTGTTCAGTAAAAGAAGAAATTCTTACACAGCTTTAAGAGAGTTTTATTGTAATTGCATTAAAGCCTCAGGCATGCCGGCATTATTCAGGAAATACAACTTAGTTTTGAATAATTTTGCCTTAATTTTGCTCTATTTGTCCTCATGGGGGCAAATGTTTTATTGCCTGCAGCAGATTCATGACCAGCCTTCCCTGTGTCTCTCCAATGTCTTTCCCATCCTTTACATGTTTAAATACACATATATAATTAATATATATTTTACCACAATGTAGGACCAGGTGTCAGGGTCCAGATGTTTGTGTCCACCTGGTTTCTCGGGGAAATATTGCCAAAATGGCCCGAGTCCCTGTGACAGCGCCCCCTGTCTGCACGGAGGACAGTGTGTGGAGAAGGATGGGAGGACAGCATCCTGCATCTGTCCCGTGGGATATTCAGGAATCTTCTGTGAGGTAGGAGAATCTATATGTAAAAAAAATAATAAAACAAAGAGGATCATATCTCAGATTCAGTCATGTGTCATGATTAATGACAGTAAAACAAGATGAAACAAACAAGAGTATCTAACGAGCAGGTTCAAGAATATAAATAAGTGTTTGCAAATGTAATATATAAAAAGAACCATCAAGAATGAATAAATATATTGGCAAATAGAGCTGTTTTTTGCACTTTCATTGAGATTACATAAAAAATAAGATCACATAAAAAACTTTGTTTTGACTTGTTCCAGGGAGACGGAACTTATAAGTACAGTCTGTTGCTTGTTTTTTTTCTTTTTTTCTTTTTTTTTACTTTTTGTTTTTCTGCTATATATATATTTTTTTGCCACTTTGATGCTGTAACTCCGCAAATTCCCCTGCTGTGATATCAATAATGACTTGTCTTATCGTAATGAAAACTATGCCAGGAAGGTAAATTAAAATCCTTTAAAAAAAATAAAAAATAAAAAAAACCAGCTATCATATCAACATTATATAACAACAGCCCCACTGGAAGCACAGCACATTATTTAAAGACATGTAAACAAAAAGAGGTCACAACATTTTTTTTTTTAAGTATTTATTGTTGGCATTTCATTAACAGTTTCTTACAATAATTTATTAGCAACACATGAGCCTCAGATTGCTAGTTTAATGGCTATCTTTGTTGTGTGAACAGACTCTTGAATTTCAAGCAGACTGTCAAATGTCTTTCTTTTTTGAGTTTTTATTATAAAAATCCATTTTTGCTTTTGTGTTTCCTGCACATATGTAACAGTAACATAAATAATGAAATTTGTCCCACAGATTTGTAAAATTGCAGTTGTCGCAGTTAGATTGCTGAACACTCATATTAGTTTTAAATAAACATTCGAGTGTATTTTTTGATGTGCTAAAAGCGAGAACGTTTTACCTCCTTCTCTTACTTTAGAAGCAGTTTCAGTATTCATTTGGGTATCTCACCTGTTTCAGACAGAGACGTTCCCCTCTAAACTTCTAAAGGACCCTTTTGGATCCCAGATTCTAACTCTCAGAACCATTAGAAACATACACAAGGTGTTGGATTTGTGTAAGAACTGCAGCTGAAGTATTAATCACAAGCCTATTTCACCTTTCCATTATTCCAGGTAGCGTTGGATCCATGTAATCCCAACCCCTGCCAGCAGGGGGTACAGTGTCACAGCATAGAGGGCAGGTACATGTGTGCCTGTCCTGATGGTTACTATGGTAACGAGTGCATGAGCCTCAAAAATCCCTGCATTGGTCAACACTGTCCAGGTAAGATAAAAAAAATATTTGCCTGTAAAAAAAAAAAAAAAAAAAAATCCAAGATCTGTTTGAACTCTGGTCAATTTGAACTAATTTGATTTGAACTAATCCGTCTTCCTCCACATGTGAAGGTGCCATGTCGGACACGACGCACGGCGGCCTCAGCTTCTACATGATCCTGGTTGGGGTCTTGGCTTTAGTGACGGTCTGTGGTTGTGCCGCCTGCGCCTTCATCCTCTCCCACCTCCATCGTAAGCGGAAAAAGCAGCAGGCCGTGCCGCAGGAGGAGGGCATCAACAACCAGAGGGACTTTGTCAACCTCATCAGAAACGTAGACCGTCCTGTGCCCCTCCTGCCCCCGGCCACCCCTCTCAGCCACCCTCCCGCCCCTGCACCCGTCTCACGTTGCTACGAGGAGATCGAGCTGACCCTGCCGCCCTCCCCGGCCCCATCCCACCCCTCTCCAGCGCTGAAGCCTGCCCACGCCCCCAAACTGGACATTTCAAACCGGGAGAGGGAGAAGCTGAACCGCTTCCACTACACAGACAACCAGGAGCTGGAGGTCTGACCCTGTCCTGAACTGCTGGGCCTCTGAGGAGCTTCGCTGGTTTTATTTTGCGTCCTTAGCACTCTTTTGCTCACAGGACCTCGTCTCCAGTGATGCAGTTATGAAAATAGGCTGACCCTTTGACCTTTATATGCTCAGACGGCTATTGGCAGACACCTGAGAAGCAAAGGCTGCTAAGTAAAGGGGTCAAAAGTCTTACTGTGTTGCCGTCTATGAGAGGCAGCAGGTGCGTGATGTTTGACTGAAAGACTTCATCTGGAGACTCAAAGACTTGCCTTGGAGTGCCTGTTGAGAGTAAGCAGAGCATTGTCCTCTGTAACAGTCTCTTGACATGTTTCCAGGTCCGTGACACCATCTGACTGGTGTTCAGACCTCCATTTCAGTTTCAGACTGAACTCTAGCTGAGAGGTCAGTGAATGGATGCCTATTTAACACTTGGTGTGTTTCTGTGTCTGGTTGTGTGTTTGTGTGCGTGTAAGAGAATGAGAGAATGTATATTATGAGTGTATGCTTGGAAAAAAAAGGATCGACAGAAGCATTTTACTTCAAGAAGTTGATATACTTCAACAGAAAAACAAAAAAAACGAGTGCATACTCCTGAACCAAAGGCTTTCAAGCCTTCTGTTTTAAAACTATACACTGTTGCCTGTATTGTCTGTGTAATACTGCAGTTTGTCAAAGATGTATGATTTTTTCATACCTGCGTGTAAAATAGCTTTTTTTGTACATAAATATATTGTACATATTGATGCCCTTTTGTACTGTGGTTCGGTCTGGAAGTATCACTGTATTACTTTGCTCTGTTTGTCCCATTTCACTTTCCATTTGGAGCAACCTGCACATGTGGATTGTAATAAAAGTGCATTTAACAACTTTATAACATTTTTTTTTTATTGCATTTAATACTTAATCAAGACTGTTCGTGTTCGAGAGATGTCAGCACTGTTACAAAAAAAATCTGAATTTTAATGATAGGGACTGTCAGCTGAGGCTGAGTCGGTCATGACTTCTCATTTGTGCTGAGGGGCAAAGAGTTTTCCTTTCTCTTAAGGATCTGGTGCAAGTGGTTTATATTTTTGGCAAAATTTTGAACTAGACATGTAGAATGACATCACACATGATACCTTCAAGAACTGTCAGAGAGTTAAAAATCTAGCAATTTTTTGTGTTCTAACAGTTTCAGGATTCGATATATGGTGTAATTTCAGCATTTTTTTTTTTTTTACAATGAAAATGTGCCTTTTAAACCCACTGGTAGGTTGTTGGGATTCAGAAGATTAAATTCTCAAAGAGCCTCCAGAGTTACCCTGTAGACTCCAAATATGTCTGAATGACTTGATGTTTTATTATTTTAAAGTGATGAAATGATGAGGGACTAACAAAATGGAGTTTTGAACGTTGTTCTCTCTGTAAGCATCACACAGCCTTAACTGTTGAAACAAACAAATGCAGTGTGGGATTTTAGTGCAACTTAAAGAAAACCGTAATTTCTTACTAATAAACAGTGTATACAGACGCAAGGATATAAAAAAAAATAAGCATCATGTTTCAACTCAGGCCATTCAGGGAAGGGCTGCAAGGTGGCGCAGTTGATAGCACTGTTGCCTCGCAGCAAGAAGGTCGCCAGTTCATGTCCCGGGATCTTTCTGCGTGGAGTTTGCATGTTCTCCCCGTGCAGCGTGGGTTCTCTCTGGGTGAGTGTGCTTGGTTGTCTGTCTCTAAGTGTAGTCCTGTGATAGACTGGTGACCTGTCCAGGGTGTCCCCTGCCTTCACCCTAAGTCGGCTGGGATAGACTCCAGCCCCCCTGCACCCCTCGTGAGGATTAAGTGGTGTATGGATAATGGATGGATGGATAATGGATGGACATTCAGGGAGCACAGGCCTCCACCAAGGCAAACCCTTCTTCTATGATATGCAAATCTGCATGCAGCCCATCATAACTATCTGAATGTTTGTCCAAAATAATTCTGGTTAAACTTTTAAGGGTTCATCCTTTTCCCACGTTTCATTTTTTCATTAAGTTTCACAAAATTCTTCACGGTGGTTTTTGAATAATCCTGCTGACAGCCAGACAAACAAACAGCACCACAAACATAAACTCTTAGGTGAAAGTAATGAAAAGATAAATAAAACTTACTTTCTGAAGATTAAATTACCAATAAGAATGATCTTTGCAACACAGCGCGAAGAGCCTCGTACCCTTTGTGTTCGAGGGTGCACTTTTCAGACGATACCACAAGTTTCCTTGTTCATGTATCACTGTTTGAGGCTCCTGGGAGGATATTTCATGGTGGAGCCCAGACACAGTGACTGGGTTAGTGGGTCACCGTATACTGCAAGGACTCTCACTATCTCTGTCTTTCTCTCTGTGACACACATTCACAAACAATGATGCTGACAGTGCCAGCAAAAAGTGGGAAACCACCTGACTGACCCTGGTCTTCCTCGAGAACAACTATATGACTGTGTGAAACTTGTCCGTTGTTGAAAAGTTGCTAAAATGTGCAGTAAGAACCACGAGAAGTTGGTTTCTAAAGAGCAGAGCAAAAGTATTTAAATACTATACTGTAAACTGGTTGTTAACACCAATTTGAAGTTTTTGATTTTAGTATTTTTACCATGACTGAACCTAATGATTACTGCTAAAATAGAACCAAAACACAGCTGAAGTCTGTCAGCGTATGTTTGATGATGTTCGTGAGATGATGTTAAAATGCTAAATAGCAAAGTGTAAAATGACAGAGAGTGAAAAGAATGGTTTTGTAATTTGGGCTGGTATAAAGCATCTGAAAGTTCACAGTGGTGACAGTTAATGGGCAAATGGATGTGACGAATGTGACCTTTGGCCTGCGCAGGCTGGAAATGAACACGGGCTTCCTGTCACCACGCTGGTCAGGAGGAAATGTAGGAAACAGAGTTGACACACACACAAACTGGATGTACAACACTCTTTCTACACCTGCTGTGACCTGCAGGATGTCAGAGTCCGGCCTGCAGATTAGAAAGTTTACATTCAGCCGCCCCTCAATCCAAACACCTTTTGTTAATGTGTCATTTTACTACCTGTCTACCTGATAAAGCGCTGGTGCTGACAGTGATGCAGCTAATTCTTGCACTTAAGTCTGTTCTGTCAGCTTGATTTCAAGGCTCAACTCACAAAAGCAAATGTTTAAATTTCTGTCAGTTTGTCTTTGAAACAGACGGAAACTTTCTCCATTCTGAACTTTTCTGACAGCCGGTGGGTGCTTGAAGAAACAGAGGTTAATCTAGGGTTTAAGCAGCGACTGACTTGTCATGGGAAATAAAGATTTTAACATTTACACAGCCTAATGCTCCGGAAATAGCCACAGACTGATATAATAGAGCAGCATCCTTTATTTTAATTCAGTTCCAATTGGCTGATACAATAAATATTCTTTCCTAAACGACAACTCATCAATTCAATTCACTTCAAGTTACTTTATGTCATCAGAATAATTATAAAAGTAAGGTGGACCGCAAAGTTATGTGCATATATCTGGTCTTACAGGGACACCTTGTGGCCACAATAGGTACATAAACCTGAAAAACAGCGTTTATGTAGTCCAGGTTTTACAGCTTCATATGATCATAATGGGGCTGCAAGGCGGTTCGGTGGTTAGCACTGTTGCCTCGCAGCAAGAAGGTCGCTGGTTCACGTCCTGGTGAGGACACCCGGGATCTTTCTGCGTGGAGTTTGCATGTTCTCCCCGTGCAGCGTGGGTTCTCTCCAGGTTCTCCAGCTTCCTACCACACCGTCCAAAAACATGCTGAGGTTAATTGGTGATTCTAAATTGTCCATAGGTGTGAATGTGAGTGTGCTTGGTTGTCTGTCTCTAAGTGTGGCCTTGCGATAGACTGGTGACCTGTCCAGGGTGTCCCCTGCCTTCACCCCAAGTCAGCTGAGAAATGGCTCCAGCCCCCCTGCGACCCTGGTGAGGATTAAGCGGTGTACAGATAATGGATGGATATTATCATAATATTAAATATGAGCGATTTCTTACTGCACATTTGTAGTGTTTGCATTTGACTTAAAAAAAAGCCACCTTAAAGCGCAGCTTTAAAAAACTGAAACAATGGAGGCCACAGATGAAAGGAGAAAGATGAGAACTTGGCTGTTTTCACACTCACTGCTGGTATGTCAGTTTGGACTGTAGCCAGGCTAACAAATCATATCAGACAGCTCTGGATGGACGTGTTTGACAATGTGACTCTGTCCGCAAAAATGTCCACCAACTTCACCGAGCCCCACAGGAAGAGTGGGACAAGCCTGCATCAACAACCTCTACAGTTCTCTGAATGATAAGATTCATGACTCATAACTGAATTGTGATTTCTGGTCTATGACCCCACTCTCAGTATGTCCATCATCGTTTACCTTGATGTCCTTTCTGTTGCAGAGATGGCATGTGTTGGAACAGCAAATACTTATTCTGTCTTTAGTTAAAAATAATGACTACAATTTAATAAATAATTGCATGCTGTGTTCTTGTTTGTTTGTTTTTTTTCAGTGTAGTCATATAAAAAGTTTGGGTCATAACTGTAACTTCTAAAATGCACTGGATCAATAGAACCAACACATGTACGAATGAAAGCTAGGTTTAAATTTGTTCTAAAAGTTTACATTAACTGTTGCTTTTTTTATTTTTCTGTTTTTTTTATCCTCTAAAGACTTTCTAAAAATGTTTTCTTCAAACATTTTCTTGGTTATCATTTAACTTTGTTTGAATGTTTTATGGAATAATGTTCTACTACTACCCCAGAAATATCCCTTAAACATCTCCAGAATCTTTTAGACAAAATGTTCTGCCTTTCTTAATATATTGCATTACAGGGAAGGTTTTATTTTTACAAAAGAAAACAAAAGTTCTGTCATTTGAGGCCTCGATAACATTTAGAATTTTGGTTTAAGACCGATCTAGCTTCATTTTCACTCATCACAGTCTGACAACATCCTCCAAATATCCTCCAAATGTTTCAGTTAAAACTTTATGCTGTTAAAATGCAGTCTAAAGAAACAACTGGTGCATGCATTAGAGCTCATTTCCCAGCCAGGTATTTTTTCAATTCTAAAAATGTTCGTTTTTTAAAGGTAGGATGTTGTCCTCTAAAGCCATTCCAAAAATTTTCTTCTTGAAACATTATCTAAAAGTTGCATTGAGAACATATTTCCTGTGTTATTGTGTAACATACTCAGAATATTGGAGGCAACAAGCTCCACCCTTGTTTTTTTTTTTGTTTTTTTTTTTAAATATATATCGCCTTACAGCCATGTTTCATGAAAAACATTCTGCCATCTGAAACTTCAATAACACCTTGAATTTTGTTTTTATTTTTATGAAACACAATCTGACAACAACCTCCAAATATCCCCTGAATATTCCAGTTAAAATGTTATGTTTTAGTTAACTTTTAACCTTATAGGAACACTATTTAAAATGAAAACATCCTTAAAACGTTTTTTTTTTTGTTGTTGTTGGTTTGTTTTGTTTTTTTAACAGTAGATTAAAATGTTTTCTTTATAACATTATTAGAACTTGTAGTTAGCCAATGTTGTGGGAACATTCAGTGCTTGCTGGGTTAAAACTCTGGGGACTGGACAGAAAGTATATTTAATCAAATCAAATCAAATTTATTTGTTGCATACACAGTTGTACATGGTACAGTGCACAATAAAACATTACCTGATCCAGCTTATACACACAAAACAAAGTAACAGCACAAAAGAGACTAAAGGCACACAAAACACAGAGCTTACATAGGTAGACGATATATACAGAAAATGTGAAGCACTATTTATAAGTATGAGTTTATTAACAAACTTTCATGATATTTATTATTTATTGTTTAGGAAAAAC